CCCCCTCGGGGCCTTCGCCCCCTCGTGTCCGCTTACTGCCCCCCCTGGCATTTTGCTCAGGCTACGGCCCTGTCCTCTATGAAACATATATAACACAACGCAAATTAATTTGAACTTTCCTGATTGATAATGAACTTGGTCCTTACTTGAAAATTTAGATTTGAAAATAGCTGGTACTTACTGAGGACAACTCTGTGGTAGATCGGGTAAGTAATGTGGCTTTGGGTCAAAACATTAGCTTTTTCATTGTCTCTTACTACATTTTGCTATGGTGCTGAAAGAAGACTGCTATTAATCCAATTTAAATGTTCTTTTATAGAATCCATAATTTGATTTCAACTTAATTGTATTTAGTGTGTAGATGTGTGTTTGTGTTTGTGTATGTGCTTGTGTGCGTGTTGTGCATGCCTGTATATGTCTGTGTAAGAACTCTTATCTTGGTCTGGTTCTTAACCAAGTAAAATATTCCCGAGAATGGGCACAAACGAGAACGACACCCACATCTACTTGTGTAGCCCAAATATTGAAAGTGGCATAAACGGGAAGTTAGAAGACTAAGAACATATAGCGTCACACACAGAATGAACACGTAGCAAACCTGTGTCAGGCAACCAAACAACAGAATGCAAACTTCCAAACTTGAGCAGAGTTAGTGTATTAATTTGTATCTTGCACTAAAAAGCCATTAACTGTGACTCAAGGCCTGTTTCTTTGTGTATCTTTCGAAAATAGAAAAATAAGGCTGCTGAAACAAATATGAAGAACTTAAGTAAATATGACAAATGAGAATTTAAGTTATGTAACTGCTATTGCACTGATTTACTTTTATCCACCATTGAACCACTCATTGCATCAGTCGCATTCACTTGATTGCCCGCATTTTATAAGTAAATATGACAAATGAGGATTCAAGTTATAATTTTGTAACTTCTATTGCACTGATTTACTTTCATCCACCATTGAACCACTTATTACATCATTGCATTTTCAGCTGATGCACCAGGTGCAAACGTTACGAAATGTGCACATACATTTAAAATGACTTTCTTGGAAAATCAATCTATAGCGTGTGTCCTTATTTTAAAAAAATCTGCTGAATGCTAACGCGTAGTACAAAAAGCCAACAAAAAGAATGTGAACATAAGTAAATATACACCGATAAATGCCTGTGTAAAAAGAAATTATGTCTGGCAGGAATTTACGTCCTAGCTGCGTATAAATACACCTGGGAGTCAAGGTCTGGGTATGACAGAGTATCCTTGGATATACACGTCCATGGAACATATTTTAACAGAGGTCCTTGGGGACATATGTATGCATATACCACTTCCACATTGAGTTAACAAATAGCAGAAGCAAGTCAAAAATATGAATATGAATAAAAAAAACCTAGCACTTGATTACTTTTCCGTATTCACAGTTTTCAGTACTATCCGATAACAAGATCCTAGCAAGCTAAGAAAAAAGTTTTGAGTAACAAATCGTGTGCTTGAGGAAAATTCCACTTTACGCTATTCGAGAACGAACGTCTGTTGTGAATTCAAATGGTCACGATTTATGTAAGTGCACATTAAAAATTAAGTCCATCGAACTGATAGGAAGCGTAGAGAACCTTTGAGTGCAAGTATGATTTTCTTTAGTGTCATCTAGTGCGAACATATTTTCGCATTAGGCAAAAGTGGAAAATGGCAAGTCACACGAGGGTTTTGTCAATTGGTTAATTTTACAATCAGAAAATAAATTTTCTGACGTAGATTAAAGCTGCAAAGTGGGCTTTTTGAACCTTCCAAATATGACGCAATGGAAATAATATTTTTAGGTCCGTAGTTTTAGGAGACGAAAAAGGATTGCCTATAAGCAAATGTTGAATATGTAAATGACAAAGTAGATTAGAAAATAAGTAAACGCGTGGTCAATTCAGAGTAATAGAGTATAAATCCCCTTGTATTTGTTTGTGTGAGATACGGGAATATAAATGTTTATAAACTCAAACTTGACGTCGTCAATGTAACAATTCTTTCCATTCAAACCCACGGGTAACAACTACTATCTGGTTACGGCTACCGCTATATGCGTTTTAAGCAATGACAGATTGTAATTCTATTCCTTGCAAATCTCGGAATATCTCGCAGCACTTTATGTACATGCAGAAGTTCCAATTAACCACTGATCAACACTGGAAATGACGGTTTCGCGTGTTAAAACTTATAAAATGCGGTTAAAGAGGCACAAGTCTACATCATTGAGTATGCATCCTTAGTTTGACTAGCCTTCTAATATTTTATCCTAATGAGGCTTTATCGTTGCCCTATTAACTAGGTCTTTTTTTCCTTTCCGAGTCACGTCAGTCTTGCGCACATTTTGGGTAACATTTGCATTATGGTTTACAACCATACAGCTAGATTACGCAGGCGAGTTTATTGATTTGGAGGGTACCACTTGCTATATCGACCAAAGGCCTTTACTGATAAAAGCAGTAAAATTTCGACTGTACCTTAAATGAAGAAATGTTGAAATGTTGTACAATTAACACAATCATATTTTGTGTAACTCTCAAGAGAACATGTGGCCACCACAAGCACAATGTCAAGAAATCATCAGAATGCCTCAGCTACAAGAATAACACAAGGACATTTCATTTAACCGAATATCAAATATGCCCTTCTTCAGAAAAAGAAAACAAAAGGGATTCAATTGATTTATCTTCTCTCCTAATTGAAAAATGGTTAAGTGAAATCGTTTATGTACTTACACTTACACTAAACGAGAAAGTAATTTCTTAATCGTAATAATTGATTGTTACTAAACAAGGAAGTCATTTTTGATCGCAACGCGTAACTGTTACTAGTAAACAACAGATCACGGACTTGTAAAATACAAAGACGTTACAAAGAGAGTTTGAAGTGCAGTCTAGATTTGCCCTGAAGCTTCATGATTCTCCCACCAATGAGCAATGCCTTTCTCTTGTAGACCAAATAAAATGTTCGAAATTAAAAATATTTTTTAATGTGCACATTTATCACAAAGACAAGGTCAATTGTCTCTCTTTTAAGAGCTTTGTGACATTTACTTATATCGTTTTATATCAAAAACATCATTGGAGCAATGTGCCCCATAAAACGTACTTTGGCGTCGATTGCAGTAAAATTCCAAATCTTCATCTAAGCAAATTCTTCAATACACTTTCTTTTCTTTCTTCTCTTTTTCCCCACAATTTTTTATTAGTTTTATCATTAAAGATACATTTAGAACGAGCGTCAGTGGAGCTTGGATTCCCAGTAGCGCATATAAATCACTTTTACCAGTTACTTATACGACTCAAATTTAGTTGACGTGCCAAGGGAAACCGATTTAAAAGGATAACAACTGTTCATTTTGGCCAAAAAATGAATTTTCCTGGGGTAAATGACAATTTTTCCAAGCTAAC